CTTTACAGGGGTTGGGGTGCTGCAGGAGATAGTGATAGGAAAGCAAGCAACATGGGGAAGAAGGTTTCTACACAGGGTTCTGTGTCTCCTGAACTACTGGCGGCAATAAGACTTGAGTGTGGTTTTAAATCTCCCAGAAACGAAGATGCAACACCAACGGCTCAGGTCGAATTCTGAGCTTGCGCCACAAGGTACCACCGGTATCATCGTTCCCTTGATTAGTATCTACTATAGAAAGAAAGCAAGCACACAGATTGATGTGATGATCATCCAAAAGTGTGAAAATGTCTGGAAGCTCCTCATTTGGTATCTCAAAATCCAGGAATTGTGGAGATGAAATCTTTGGAATGGTAAATTGATGGATGGTACCCTTTGTATATAGATTGATTGATTGTTTGCTGCAAGAAGAGAGAATGCACGCACTCTGTTGACATCCAAATCCGATGGCCGGAAATTGTTGCATTGGAAATGCAAAGAGCTGGTTTAATAAAATCAAATTTTAAATTCAGAATCCACCCTCTGTATCTGTGAATTTTTGGAAACAATTATAAACTTACATGAAAAAAGAAAGGAACAAAGAGAAAACGAAAAAGGTGAACGTAAAGGTGTTGGTAAATGCTAGCTTGGACTCTGGTTAAGCTAAATGGCACATGGAGGACTCGGAAGCTAAAAACTCCTGATTTCGTCATCCCTGGAGTTGCTATACGACAAGCATTTCTCATCCCATTTCGCTTGTGTGGACCCCTCACCCTTTATTTGGAGGGTACCGACATAACCCTAGAGGGCCCACCATTGCCGAAACATGCGTTTTGTTCTTTTGTCGTCGTTGTAGAATGTTCTAACCCTTTTTTTTCCTTTTTGTTGACTTTTCTCCTCTCTTTTTTCGGTTATTCACATTCACTTATTAATCTTAAATCTTTTAACTCATTACCAATGACTCAGTGAAAAATGGCCTAAATTTGCAGATGAGTTTTAGGTTTGAATTTTTGTGACACTTTAGTACTGTGTGTGAGAAAAACTTTTTTTTTTTAGTTTAAACTATAATTTGTATTTAAAAATATAAAAAATTCAGAACTCATTTAATTTAATGGTGGTGGGTAGGCAAACACCAGTAACCAGTCAAAGATTATTTGAATCGTTTTTCAAAACTGGATTTTTCATCTTTTGCATTTTAGCTTTTAGATTAGCCTGAATATGACATCCAGGTGGGGAAGACAATCAAATTTGGCCGAATATGCTACCTGCTGCTGCTGCTGGGATCCAGTCCAATTCTGGAAACTATAGATTCCATTTCCAATGTTCTGTTGTTCAACTTTCTCTTTTCTAACTCTCTACTGATAAAAAGAGTATCTATTTTTATTTTTATTTTATACAAGTAATAATCAACCTTAAACTAATTTAAACAATAAGAAGCAAAATTTGAACTCGGGTGCAAAGTGAGGAGCACATCCGCTCTAGACTCCATTTTAAGTTCTATCATTCGAGCATCTCCCTCTTTCTTCAACTTCCCTTGCACAAATTTGTAAAAGTTTTTAAAAAATAATTAATTTGTACGCATGAAATATTGAGCTCAAAACGTTTTGATCTTCTAAATATTCTGTATATTTTTCAAATTTCATTTGTGTCTCAATCACTTCTTTTTTATGTTGGTCGGATTGTCTCCATCACGTTATTAATAAACAGATTTTTCAACATTGACCATGTGAAAATTATAATGCGAAGAACAATCTGATCACTTCATGGCGGTGCGAGCAGTAGCTACTCAAGAACTTTGTGCTTTATAATTAAATCCAAATCTCAATATTAACACATTAACCAAGCATTACCCATCATTATTTTGTGCAAAATCACCAATTTTTTTTTGGGAGTTTCACTAAAACACCCAAAATGAGGGTTGAAATTATAAAAAAACCCAAGTACTATTTAAACATATAAACACACCCAAAACCTATCATTACACACACTCAAAACTCATTTATAAACACACCCAAAAAGTTGACTTTGGAGTTGATTTTGGGTGTGTTTCTATGTTTAAATAGTGCTTGAGTTTTTTTATAAATACATGTCTAGGATTGAGTTTATTTATAAATTTGTATTTTTTTTTTCTTCCCAAAATCACCTTTTGGAACTAAATACTTATCACTTTTTCATTTTATTATAATAGTATTTGAGCTAGAGCTCATAAGCTTACCTAAGCAAATTATACTTTGCCAAAATCTAGTCTATTTGTTAAGATATATTTATTTTGGATAATAAAGCTGCATTATGAGTGTGGCCCCAAATTAAAGAGATAAAAATGAGAGTTTTCAGATGAGGGCTAGCCATGTCTGTCTGCCTCAAAACCCTATTTTATTGTGGAGTGTTGGGCTTCATGAATGAATGTCATCATCGCTCACACCGTCATACGCACTCTCTCTCTCTCTCTTTTTCTAACATGTCAGAGAGAGAAAGAAAGAGAAAGAGAGGGGCACAAAAAACCTAGAAATTTTGGCTTTGCCTTTCTTTCAACGCCAGAACCCAACAGCAATCATCATGTCTTCCTCTTACCTTCTTTATCGCCATCATTGCTTCCACACCACCCTCTGCTGCTGCTTCATCACCTCCAACTCCAACCACCCCACAAAACCCACACCCAAAGTGTCATTATTCTCATTAATATCACCACCAAAGAAGAAGAAGAAGAAAAAGAAGCGACCCAACGAAAAGAAAATTTTATCATCATGATTTTCAAGCGCCCAGCAGAAAGACAACCCTAGCTTAGCTTAGCTATAGCTAATAAGTTAGCTTTCTCGCTCTCCTTGGTTGCGAGTGAAGAATCTCGATCTCTCTCCTTAATAAAGTTCAAAGAGTTATTGCAAGTCTTTGCGCTTTGGGGGAATCAAGCATCTTGGTCCGACGACGATTTGCTAGTGTTGAATCAAAGCAAATCTCAAATTTTCAACTTCGTTTGGTTTGGCAACTTGTTCCTTAGATTTATGTCACGTACACTTTAGATCTTGTTAGCTAGATAAAGGCTCTGTCTTTCCTGGTTTTGTTGTTACAGGTTATGGTAGACTCAAGTCACTATATTTGGTAAGAAACTCTTTTGTTCTCCGAGTGTATGTGTTTGTGTGTGTGTGTGTGTGTATGGATTATCTTGTTTAAATTATCAGAACTATTGTTTGTGTTGTACTTGTAACTGCTGAAGAAATCGATTCTAGATTATATATGCGAAGTACTGGTTCTACTTGATTTTCCTTTTCCAGTTCAGATCTACAGGATCTGTGTTAGGGTTTCTACAAAGGGATTTTCATATATGTGAATTAACGAAGATCAATCCATTACCCTTTCACCATATATACATGTAACTTTGTAATTTGAGGTCTCTATATATATATATTTGGACCGTATTTTTAATTGGTTAATTAGCATTCAGCTAGCTCAAGGTATTTTCAAAATGGAAGTGTGTGTATATATATATATATATATTTGCTCTTAATTTGTAGCAAAACAGAAACTAATTTAATTTAATTTAATATACGTGTTCAGCTTTAGCAATGCTATGTCGTAATTGTTCATTTTGTCAGTGAGATATTTTTCCAGTGGGATTCTGTGCAAAGTATATGTATTGAGATTGGGAAAATAGATAATAATTACTTGTGTTCTTCAGTCCACATTTTGCAGCTGAGAGTTTTGCCAAATTATATGTATGATGTTGGGTACATTTTGTCCGTATAATGTTGGCTTTACCATATACGGATGATGGGGATTGGTGTACATTATTCCCATGACCCATTGTGGGAGCTGATTAGCTAGTTTGAGTTCTTGCTGTGAAAACTGAAAAGTTTGAGTTGATGACCTTTTTTTGACAGTACAGATAAGTAATTAAGCTGCATATTTACACAAACACACGCATGAAATTAGGCCTTTGCCCTAGCTAGTGCTTGTGGTGGAGCCAATTTTTTATATTGTTCTTCTCGATCAACGGTTTTGCCCTAGTTAAGTAACTTTCTGGCTATAGCTACTAGTCTACCTAGTCGATGCTGATTAATGCAAGACATTTTTTATTAGGCTGTCAATCTCGCGATATGATAGTGCAGAATCTTAATAATTAAAGGCGGCATGCATGATTCAGAGTTCATTTCAGACAGTGCAGTGCAGATGATATGGATATATATGTCTCTAGATTTCTCATGAATTCATAAACTAACCTAATATGTGTTCACAAACTAATCCGTCACACATCATGCTAGGCTTATAGGTCGTCATTTATTAATCTTTGGCTCGGCCTTGAATCATTACCATTCGTATTTTTGAACTAAGAAGATATCCACCATCTATAAATATACATAGAGCCTACATTATAGTTAACTTTTTCTATAAGGCAAGAGTCTAAATTACTCTAACCTACACATGGGGTGACACCACAGTGGAAAAGTAAGTCAAACCCTTTCCCTTCTTGTTAAGTGCACTCGAGTTCGATTCACATAGAAGCCACTTTTGAGGTACCTCAATATAATACTTCCTTCTTTGTCGAATGACCAAAAAAAAATTTACTTTAACCTAGAGGAATGGGGATTCAAATTCAAATATAAAGGGGGAGATCCACACTATGTCACCATCTACTTAGCTCACATAACCCACATATGCAATTCAACACACCTAACTCGTATGCTAAATTTGAGTTCAATCCGATCAAATTCGAACAAACTAACTAGGTTTGAGGACTACAATCAAAACCTACACTAGTTGAACCTGAAATTTAAAGCAAACCAAATGGGGGTCAATTATATAGGATTCATCGTAATCAAGCTTAGATAAAGATTGTATTCAATTATTTGGGTCAATTTGAAAAGAAAAGAAAAATCATATGGGTCAAAATTTGGTCTATACGTGGATGGGTTGGGCTAATTAGACAAAAACAGGCCCAAGGCCTTTTAATAAGTAAGGAAGGAGGGAGAGGTGGATTCATTGGGAGCGGACCGAGTGGTTGGTGTGTTTCTTTAACCGATATTCACAACGAACGAGTGGCGGGCACAGCTTTGCTTCAACTTCATTGAATTCAATGCTAATTCCCAAACCCATCTCATAAAATTCCAAAATTTCCAAATTAAATCCCCCAAAATTATATAAACAAACGGATTATTACGCCCAATAATTATTAATTTCCCACACCAGTTCTCTCTTCCGCACTCGCTCTCAGGCCATGACTCTGCAACTCCAAGCTCCGTCCTTCCGCGTCAGCATTTCCTCCTTCGTTTCTCCTCTCAGACGCTCCACCCACCGCCATGTAATCCGAGCTCAAGGTTCGAATTCTGAAACATCTTTTTTGTCCTCCTTTTTTTTTTCTTTCATATTTTCGTTGTATTATCATTTATAATTAGTGGGTTTTCAGATTTATTGTTGCCCCAATTTGACGTTCTCGCCTGGTATTTATGTAAATCATACGTATATTCGAGCTTCTGAAGAGCTTGCGTTGCTCTAAGTGATTATGTACAAGTGTTTTAAACCTTTAAAGTGTGATATGTGCAATGCCAAATTAAAAACCTTGCTTGATTAGTAGACTTGAGCTTTTGGGGCCGGAAATTTTGAACATTTTCAGCTTAAATTAGGATGTCATTTCATTTCAAAGCATCTTCATCCCCCTTTTGATGGTGTTTTCGTTTTAAAAATGTGAACTTTGGATTAATTTATGCTATGAATTTTGTGTTCTGGCAGCGGAACCATCAGAGAAGTCTGTTGAAATTATGAGGAAGTTCTCTGAGCAGTATGCTCGCAAGTCTGGAACATACTTCTGCGTGGATAAGGGAGTGACTTCTGTTGTTATCAAGGTATGTATTTATTTACTCATTGGACCTTACTTGTGTAGCATTGTATACTTCAAATTTACTTCAAAACCAATAACTTTATAAGCTTCCACCATGGATTAGAACCGTAAAGAACATATTACCCCGAGCCCTTTGATCCTATAGATTATGAAACATCTTTAAACTATTCCCTCAAAATGATCCCCATAGGCATAGTTCTTCAGTTCAATATCTTTCTGTTGTAGTTCATGTTCTTTTATTCTGCATTTGATTGAAGTGTATTTATCCAAGTAAATTGAACTGATTTTTCAATTTCAACAGGGATTGGCAGACCATAAAGATTCATTGGGAGCGCCACTCTGCCCTTGTCGGTAAACATCTGTTCCCATTGTTCTTCACTAGGATGTTCCTTCTCTGCCCTATGCCTCAAACTCCTTACCAGTTCTTAGTGTCAAAATCGCTTCGTGTTCATATCATGTCGTACTTTCCAAGTCTGAACTCGTTTTGTCGCAGGCATTATGATGACAAACCTGCCGAGGCTGGCCAAGGCTTTTGGAACTGCCCATGTGTTCCTATGAGAGAGAGGTAAATATCATTTCATTATTTTGTGAAAGTAGTATACCAATCAGGTTATTTTATTAAAGTTTCCATTTCATTATTTTGGTACTCAGACATTGAAATCAAAGATAAATGGGCTATAGAGTTCATGTTAGATTTGCTTACTGGATAAAAATATGGTAAGGAACAAATGGGCTATAGAGTTCATGTTAGATTTACTTAATCCGAATATTCTGCTCAAATCCAGCTAAAGAATCTCAAGCTTATTTCATTTTAACTTTGACATCTAAACTATTGCAAACCAGCATTATATGCAATGGTTCAAGTATATGTAAACCCGGATCATTTTAAAACTGTAAGATTGTGTTGGCAGGAAGGAGTGCCACTGCATGCTCTTTCTCACTTCTGACAATGATTTTGCTGGACCGGAACAGGTAACTTATGCACCCTTCTTTTAGCTCATCAATTGTAGTTTGTTAACAATAGGTTTGACATATTGCGGTTTGAGAAATCTCATGTACTCCTGTTCTTGCATGTTATTTTTATAGTTTAATTTGTTTTCCCTGCAACTCTTGTGCAATGCAGACCATCTCCTTGGAAGAGATCAGAGAATCAACAGCAAACATGTAATAAGCTTTAGTGTGTATTGAAAAGTATGTGTTATGTGTAAACAGTCCACTTCTGTATTTGTGAAAGGCAAAAAAAATGAAGAAAAGCTCATCTTTTGAATATCTGATCTTTGTTCTAGTCTGAAAATATCCCATGGACTTGTCATATTCTCATAGCTCCAACATTGATGTAATTTTAATCGATCACCAATTTGTATGTCGAACGACATTTCAATGGTATATTTTGGATAAGTTCCCGAGACACTTGGACAAAACCCATTGGTCATCGATTCAGGGAATGTGAGGTTGCTCCTTTTGCTTTTTCCAAAATGTCCCAAAAAGAAAAGTCTATGCAAAGCTTAAAAGAAAATTTATCAAAGAAAAAAGATATTTTTATAAATTGTAAATAACAAATCTGTCTCTAAATTTTTAGTAATTGGTTTAGACACATTTGCTTTCATCGATATGGACTTTTAAAATAAATAAAAAAATTGCAAGCGGTATTGGGGAATTAGATTTTTTCACGCACACTGCCAACGCACATGGGGTTTATACCTGGGTTTTTTCACACACTGCCAACGTGCTATGTGCACATGAAATTTGAACTTGAGACCATTTGGCCATCGACCTGAACCTGAAGTACGATTCTCTAATTTCTAAAAGAAATGGGCTTGAAAGGTGGGAAATTGTTGGCCCAGCCCAGGTAGATTGACTTGACCAGGCGACATCCTCACAAAGACAGACCTGTAAGATGGCAATGCCACGCATGGATGCTTTTCTGCAAATCGAAACATAGAGATGGATAAATAGGGTTTTACTTTGTCTTTTCTTCATCATCATCTTCTTCTTAGATCTCTGAAATCATTTTCCTCAATCACACATTTGGTTCTCGGACATGTCGCAGCCCAGGGTCACCATCACCCTTGGTCGCTCTGGTCAGGTACTTTGCTTCCTGCTTTCATACTTTTTCTGTGTTTTCTGCCCCAATTACCGGTTGTTTGCTTGCGCTGAATCTGTGACAAACGGGAAAAAGGTTTCTTATTCAGCTGCGAAAAGGAGCTAAGTTTATTTTGTTAGTTTCAATTTTATTTTTTCTTGTTCTGTTTCCGAAAAGACATGAGCTCGAATTTCCTCCTATTACTTAGCTATTTTTCGTGCAGTGGAATGCTCTAATTGTTTTTATGGTTGCTTTGATAATTTGATGAATTTTTTGGGTTGTGGGTCTTCGCTGAATGGATATATCTTGGGCTGAACCGATTTAAAGGCCAATTTGGGTTGATTTGTGTGTTTTTATATACTTATTAGTGGAAATGTTTTTGTAGGTTGTGGAGAGGGGGGGATCGGCATCAGACTCTGCGAGAGTGCATGGCTATAGTGGGCTAGTTTCTGGAAGTAAGCGATCAATGGGAGACAGACTTGGGAGTAATGCTCATGGTCTTTCATTTTCTGCTGGCAAGCGGTACATTGCTCTGTCTCTTTAATCTCTGTAACTTTGGCTTAACAGCTTACTACTTGTTTGGGAAGTTCTTCAGATACTTTATATTGAGAATGTGATTCTCCAATGGTTTGGTTCCTTCATTTTGGTACTATGAACTCATCTTATCCATGCCCAAAATATTTTTTATGTCTTCTACCGTGCAAACTACCACCATGCCAAAACTAGCTCTTGAAGCATTTTCATTTTGAGAATGGTCAAATCGCAACCTTACCACAAAGGATTGGAATATAGAAGTAGGCTGGTGTCTTTTGTCCCTTAATTGGGTGCATAATATGAAAAGCATAAAAATAATCATTTTTGCCTTTCTTTTTTAATTTGTTTAGCAACCAACTGGAGAACTGCACTTCTAAAATTGGCAGAAATCATCATTTGTTTATTATAGCAGTAATGTGTTTATGCTATTTTGAGAATTGGTTTTTGAGGCAGTAGTCATGTGTGTCTTTAGTTCTATCATGATGTGTTCAATATCAATTTTCAGGCAACGAGGAGATGGTAGAAAATGGAGTGGGGGAGACAAACAACTGCATGGTAAATTATCTAATGTGATATTACCAACTCTTTTTGTTCTTTATATGGTTTCTTTGTATTGACTCTGGTCCATTAAAACAAGTGAAGATTCACGAATCAGTCGAAATGACCTCAGATTGAAGTTGTTGCGTAAAAGATTATTTAAGCAAACTGGTGGAGCTGTTGAAGAGCGCAAGCGGATGGACCCTCGTGTAAAGCTGTCAAAACCTGTTCATCCATCGGTGAGATATCAGATGCTGCAGCACGAATCAGAAACAAATGGAAGTAGCGTGATGATGAAAATTCCTCCCAGTGAAAGTGCAGGTGATTTATACCAGGTAAATTCACGAAGGAACTTCTACTCTTCTCAACCGAGGGATGGATTCAGAGCTAGATCCCCGCCAAGAAATTTTGATGAGCTGCGCCCAGCATCATCATTTAGGGCAGTTGACGCCTCTAGATCTGGCCAGTTCCTGAGAAATGGTATGGTTGGTGGTTCTCAGCCAACAGACTCCTTACTTTTCACAATGAAAGCTACCCCTCAAGCTGCCAGGCCAGTTGCACAATTTGCTCCAGCAAGTGGCAGCATGCAGAAAAGTTCACTAATGGTACTCCTTTATGGCTATTCAACACTTTAGCTTCCTTTTGGGAAATCTGATTTAGTATTGCCAGTTGACTTTAATGAGTTTGTCTCTCTCTGTCTTGCATTTGTACAGGGGGATGAACCTCTAACTGTTCCTGGCTTGTTGCATAGACTTGGTTTGGGAAAATATGTCATTATTTTCCAGGCTGAAGAAGTAAGTTACCCACTCTTGATTCTTATAAAAACATTGCAGAATGTGATTTTTGATATAGGTGTGCTTTCCTTCATTTGATTGTAATCTGATGTCTGAGATAGCGCCAGAAAAAAAACATAACAAAACAAAAAGGAATGTCACAACTGACTATCTGTATTTTAAATGTGGAAATCTGATTAATCCAATGAGGAATACTAATATAAATGAAGAAGTGACTTTAGGTTCGCTTTTTTCTTTTGGTTCTCTCAACTTCATGTTTTTTCATGCTTAATTATCTGATTTACAGGTTGACATGACTGCTTTGAAGCAGATGGGGGATAAGGACCTCAAAGAGCTGGGTATACCAATGGTATCCATTCCCTCTAGCATCCATTGTTTCTACCTGCTCATTGGAAATGAAATTGAACTTTTCTCACAAAGGCTTGCTTGATTTGCAGGGACCAAGAAAAAAGATTCTTCTAGCTCTCCTGCCCCGTACAAAACGGCAACCCCCATAATCTCTACTTCCAACGATGAAATGTAAAATACCATTGGAAAAAGGAAAAGAAAATTGTTGCTATCTAAAGAGCCATTTCTTTTATTTGTACTTTCGCCTGTTGTATCAGAAAATGTAGTGGAAGAAATTGAGTGAGATCTTGTGTTGAAGTTGAGGTTTGAGAGGGGGTTGATCAGTTTGAATAATTTATCCTCCATAGGTGTTTGTTGATTTGAAAAATAGGTGTTTACTGTTGTATTTTATAGATAGAAACAGAGGACGTGAGCAAATGAATGTATGAATTGTATACATTAATCTTCAGTTATATTGTACATTGCACGTGAATGTCTGGTTTTTGTACGAGTATCTATTCTCAATTAGATCAACCCATGAATTGTAATTAGTAAAATTTATACTGGATCGTAAAATCTCTAAGTTCGAATCCCCTCTCCCTCCAATTGAGTTTAATAAAAACTCAAGTTGGAATTATTCAAATCCAAGTTCGAATCCCCTCCCTCCTCCCAGTGATTTTACATTTTTAAAAAAAAAGTAACAGACGTTTACAACAGACGACCCATGATGACGCTATCTCTTAATATGCTCTAACAGAAGGCGTAGTCGATGAAGACTTGGAATCGCGCTCGCTCTTCCCGCATTCTTTTCCTTTCCTTGAAGCAAAAGCAGCCACGAACTTTTCGTTCCAGCGCACGCCATTACCCACCAACAACGATGAGGAAGGCGTCGTTTGCTTCCGGCAAACATGGTCGGCGGGGAACCGGTGCTTGAGGCACACCTTAACCTGGCAAGTTTTGCACGTGCTGGTATTGGAAAACGTGAGGATCTCCTTGCACCGCCTAACCGGGCACGTGGGTTTCTTCTTCATTCTTGGGTCGCAATTTCCAGACTTTTGGTGCTTCTCTAACAAGAGCTTCTGGTCTTTTTCTCCGTCGCGGCCGGTGGTTTCTATGGAGGTGGAGCAGATTTCGCAGACCAACACCTTTCTGCTGTTGTGATCAGATTTGGGGCACTGGTGGGATTTGAAAGACCGATGCTCAACACAAAACACCTACAGATATATATATAAATGCCAAATTTTCAGAAATTATATAAACACATAAGATTTATGATGTGAATTGTGGTTGGGTACCGTAAGGTTACCTTGTGGCAACCGTCGCATTGAAAAGGGAGGAAATCGAGCTGGTGGCAATCGGAGTGCTGGCAGTGCCTTCCCAAATCCGGAAAAGCTTCGGTTCCTCCTGTCATGTCTTAATTTGATTGATGTCTTTGAATTATCTTTGATCTTCAGTTGTTCGAATTTTTGTGGCGAAAAAAACACATAAACAAAGGTGGCTTGGCCTCTGTTCTGTGTTCGATTTATAGGGGAGGGGAGCGAGGGTGGTCAGTCTGGGTTGGCTTGGCTTGGGGCATAAGCCAAACCCAGATAGGATTTTAATTTACTACGCGGATGTTTCCTACTTTCCACGAGATGTTTCTTCTTCCTCCTTATAAACGGACGAGTTTATTGTACGCGTCATCACACACGCCAAGCTCCACCAATCGGACCATTTCCTACCAAATATAGGAGGTAGGCCCACTGACCATCCAATTATTCGGCCTAATTGGGCCCAATTCAGTCTGGTTCATCGGCTCCGAAACCCACACCTACTGCCCACCTACAAAACTTGGCCACCCAAACATACCAAGGCCCGTCCATAAGATTCTTTTGGTTTTGATGACGAAAGTAAAGCGTCCACCCATGATCTCCCTTTAACCCAGCCCATGCGGTGTTATGAAAATAGATTTGGTCTGGCACCACAAACAAATGGCATATCTATATCTATCTATTCATAAATTATGAGTTTTAGCGGTGGTGGGAGTATTTGGAAGTAAGCACAGCACATCCTATTAGAGAAAATCCTAGCTCTAGATTTTATATCAACATCAACAAGAACGAACTTGTCAAGGGAGATGGGTGGAGAAAAGTGCTCCCTTTTTCTCCTTTTTTTCCCTTCCAATTCCAGCTGAGAAATGAGAATCCAATTCCCTGCTCCACAAACTTGCCAAGAGCAAGACCCCACAAAAATTCCCTTGCTTTCTCTCAACTAAATTATATTCGTATCACATGTCTATGTTTTCGAAAGTCTAGAATCAATGCAATCTCTACCTAATTTCCCACAAACAAACAACACAAATAACTTGTAGCTTATAGCAAAATAAGAGACCACACATAGACATGGAGGATGGACGCCATGCACTATTATAAGCAAACAAAAAGGCTCATGCCACTTTGTAAAGGTCTTTCTTTCATAAAGCATAAATAATCATTCTATGCATATATGCATGCAGGATGCAGCATGATATCAAAAAAGAGGACGAAAGAACCGAAATTCTGCATGTCCAATATACTACATACAAAGCAGACTGCCTGCCACCAACACCAAGATCCCTCTCCGGATGCTGTAATTCAATGTTAATGAAAGATTAGAGCAAACATTTGCTGTGTGGAAAAGCCGGGTCCTACTTAAAGCAGGCAATCATGCATGCTTAAGTTACTGGGTGCCTGCCAGTGACAGCCACAGCCCAAAGTGCCCATTTATTCAGCCTTTTTCAGGTGATATTATTCTACTAACATTAAAAATCAAAGTAAAGCTCTTTGACCTTGGGCCCTCTCGTGAAAAGTGCAAGTGATTTATGAATTCAACCCAAGCTGAATTCAGCATTTTCTGTGATGAAAGAAAACCAACAAACTTAGATGCCATACAAGAAAACAATCAGTTTTTCTTGTGTGCTTCACAAGAAAACCAGTTTGGAAGCAAAACATTGAGAAAAATATGCATTAATATCGACAACAACCAAATCACGGCTATGATCTCCTCATGCAAACAAAGATGAGAGATGTGTTCGACCATTGAAAATGGAAAGACTACCGCTTTGAAACTAAGCATTTCTGCATTTTGTTTATAAAAATGTTCAGATTTAGCATTTCTGAAATTGGTTTAGATCTGTCAAAAGGAAAGGGACGAAAAAAAGGGAAGCTAGTTTTTGTCGAGGGTGGGCCATATGTTGAGGAGAAAAAAAGGAATCAATCACTTTGGCAAAGAAAGGGAGATAAGATATGATCCAGCCTAGGACACTGATAAAAGTTCGTATTTCAATTGCTACAGAAACTTAACGCTTAAGTATATGCAGTAATGATGAGAGTGGTGACTAAACTGGACATCTGCATGCAAACAAAGTAGGTCAAGAGAAACATACGCCCACAAAAATAACATTTTTCAAAGATAAAGTGGGGAGGTGAGTGAGTACCTTTTTCTTTAAACTTTCAGTGGTGGGATCGAGCTGCTGTAGCAGCAGGTATTTTGTCTGCACAAGTGCCCAGTGAGTGAGAAGGTTAATCTATGAGATTGATGGTCCAGAAAAATGCCACATCATCATCTCTTCTCAAAGCTTCTGTTGAATCACGGATTTACATCTGTTTAATCCTCCAAAATTCAACAACATATTATTCAAAGCAAATTGTCATATTATCATCTAAGTCTAAGCCGCATCCATTGTTTTACCTCGTCCTCTGTTTCCTAATAAAAATCAGAGAACAGGAGAGCAAAAAAGCGCCCATCGAATCAGCCTAAAAAAGGAGATGTGTTTTAGTTTTTGGGCTTTTCCATATAATGAAATTGATGGGTGGGCAATTGGATTGGCTTGTGACTGGCTAGGCTTGATACTAAATTAAAGAATAAACTTCATAGATACTCTTCTCCATGGTTTATTTTTTAGGGCAATGATTTCCCCACTCTTATTTTATCCACTTACACTTCTTTTTTAGTTATAAAAAAGGAGTGTAAGTGGATAAAATAGGAGAAAAAGGAGTGGGAAAATCACCACTCATTTTTTATTATGAAGTGCAAGAAATTAGTCAATTGTTTTGACTGCTATATCATGCTTTCGTTCCATAGTTCACTATTTGGTCACTGGACATGCATACTATTAAAGGCATATCTAGAGACATTCTCTAATAAGAATTTAAGTTAATGATTAGTTACGTAATTCTAATCTCGATCATTAGATTTTATTTAAAAAACTACTAATATATTTAATGAATACAATCCAACGATCAAAATTAAAAGTATGCTATCAATTCTTAACTTAATGGAGAATCTCCCGCATCTTTATTATAGTGCATGCAATAGTCTCCAGTTATTGTAGATGGAAAATGATTAGAAATTTTTCCGAAAGCAGAGGCATCAGAATCCCATTCGCAGGCTCCATCAGACACCAAAACAACAATTGTATATTTTTCTCTCATTCACACCCGCCGTACCCCAAACAAACTCTGTCTCTAATATCTAAAGAATCTCCATTTCTTTTCTCTTCTTTTCTTTTCTTCTCTTCTCCTCAGGCCTCCTTTCTCGCCCAATTCTCCACAATGTTAGCAACCTCCATATTTCTGCTTATCGAAAATATAATCTCTTCGTCTTCAGCGTCTTAAAATCCGCTTCTTTTATCAAAAACAATTCAGGATCATGAACCATCCTTACATGTGCATAAAGCTCATGTCTTTCGTTCATATGCAAAGCTGAAGAAGAAGGGCTTCACTTACTTGTTTCAGAGATTCAAACAAACAATTCGCGCATGGAGTTTCAGGAGGCTATCATGAAGTTGATGATCCACAAAACCAAAGAAAACGAATGGGCTTTCCAAACCCCTGACAGAGTGACAGAGATAAGCAGTCCCAGCCCCAGGCGCAAATGGAAGCTTTTCCACAGGTCCCCATCGGCCATTCCATCAAAAACTGCGAAGGCCCAAGCTCCAAAGGAGTTCATTTGCCCCATCTCTGGTTCCCTAATGGCTGACCCAGTCATCGTCTCCTCAGGCCACACCTTCGAGCGTGCCTGCGTCCAAGTCTGCAAAGCCCTCAACTTCACACCGACTCTCGTGGACTCTCCCCCACCCGATTTCTCCTCTGTAATCTCCAACCTCGCTCTCAAATCCGCCATTCTCAACTGGTGCCGCAAGTCCTCCATATACCCTCCCAAGCCCCTCGATTTCAGCTCCGCCGATCAGCTCGTCCGTGCGTTCATGGCGTCCCAGAACCAAACCCAGCCCCAGAAGCTCGTAATTTCGGAGAACGAGTTGTTGATCCAAGGCGTCAACGAAACCCCTAAAGTGAATTTCAATCACGCGGCCACCGAGGTGACTCGGCGTCCGACTCACTTCCACTCGAGCTCCGACGAATCGGTCACCGCGCTTGTGTCGACTCCTCCTCTGCCCTTCTCGTCGCAGCCGAGTTGCTACTCTTCCCGTTCGTCTTCCTCCTCCGAAATTGAAACCCTAAACCCAGGCAACAGCAATTCATCCTCCGGCTCCGTAGAAGACGACGAAATCTTGATCAAGCTCAGAAGCCCACACGTGTTCGAAATCGAGGACGCTCTGGCCTCGCTGAGGAAGATCACGCGAACCAGAGAGGACACTCGGGGCCGCCTCTGCACCCCTCGGATGCTCTCCGCCCTGCGACCTCTGATCGTGTCCAGGTACACCGGCGTTCAGGTGAATTCGGTCGCAGCGTTGGTCAATTTGTCTTTGGAAAAGTCAAATAAGATTAAGATCGTACGGTCAGGAGTTCTCCCTCCATTGATTGATGTGCTTAAGGCAGGATCCCCTGAGGCGCAGGAACACGCTTCCGGTGCACTCTTTAGCTTGGCGCTTGATGACGATTGTAAGACCGCCATTGGCGTTTTGGGTGCCTTGCCACCTTTGCTTCACTTACTCCGATCCGAGAGCGAGCGGACTCGGCATGACTCGGCACTCGCTTTGTATCACCTCACACTCGTTCAGAGTAACCGCTCCAAATTGGTTAAACTCGGGTCGGTTCCGATTCTTTTGAGAATGGTGAAGTCAGGTCATATGACGGGTCGGGTACTACTCACATTGTGCAACTTGAGTTCTTGTGCGGAGGGGCGGGCATCGATGTTGGATGCGGGTGGGGTGGAATGTTTGTTGGGTGTCCTGAGAGGAAATGAGTTTGACTCGAAGGCAACTCAGGAGAGTTGTGTGGCCACATTGTGTGGGCTGAGTTATGGTGGTTTGAGGTTTAAGGGTTTGGCCAAGGTGGCCGGGGCGATTGAGGTGTTAAGAGAGGTGGAGAAAAAGGGAAGTGACCGGGCGAGGGAGAAAGCAAGGAGGATGTTGGAGGTGAAGGGGG